ATATTACCGCGCACCAGACGCGTTTTTTTTTCGGCCCCCCGCCGGGGGCCTCATCAGTGGTTTGTCAATCTACAAGTGAGAACTATCCATACGTCTAGCTGCCGTACGACCTATAATAATGCTTAGAACCCTAAAGAACATTCTAGACATACCCTATCATGGGTCGAATCTCTGGAGTCGAATCCAGTGCATCATGCACTTACAACACTCCCCCTCGACGACATGAGATGCAGACCACTTTGGTATCGACCCGCCTGTAATCCTCACTGCTGCATCCGTGCACCATGGGAATCTTGATTGAGTCTTGCCCCTGCGCTCCAGCCAACCTCGATGATACCGAGCGTTCCAGGTATTCCATCTCCCCCATCGTCCAGCACCATGTCACATCTTGACATCTCGTAGTCGTCGTTCGCCTTGCATGTAGTTTCCACTTCTTCTTGACCACAAATACACTTGTCACCACTTGACTTGACTCTTCCTTCGATAGCACTCGCGCATTCAGACCATCTCGCGTCACCACCCTTGCACAAACCCTTTTCGACTGCACGCGCACCGTCAACGATCCCTGTCGATGAATTCTTCGGCGCCTTACTCGTGCATCGAGCGCCTTCTCTGACGGGGTGTCCCTCGCACAAGTTGGTCCTTGGTGAGGTGTCTGCAGCGAGCACTTGGGCTCATAACCTGTTAGAAGTCAATACACAAAGGTAGAGACAGAGGACACACAATTAAATGCAAAAGAGAGAGTGTTATTAGTTTCGTTATCTCCTGGCTAGCTATCAAATCCTTTCTGCAGAAGAAATCATAAAATGAAACTCCCACAGTTGCTCGGCGCAAAGATGATATCAAAAGTGATACTGGTACCACTTTCTTGGTACATCAACTTGAAGCTTGCCTTTCAACACTCCTCCTCGTCGACACTGTCCTGACAAAACACTTGATCCTTGCTCTGTCATCGTCGACTCCGATCGATTATTTTAAACCGATCACTTGACGCATCTCGACCAATCTCGGTGCAGCCAATGCCTTCGTTAGTATGTCCGCAGGCATACTCGAAGTTTCTCGATATTCAGGCTTTATGATTCCTCGCTTCGCGAAATCACCGACAAACTTGATGCGCACATCAATGTGTTTGGCCTTAGCCGAAGCTCTCTCAACGTCAAGTTGTTTCAAAGCCGCTTGGTTATCCACTCGCAGTGGTATAGGCTCTTCAAATCTCAAATCTAACTCTTGCAACAGTTCGCGAATGCCCAAAAGTTCTCGAGCCATAATGGATGCAGCTGTAAACTCAGCCTCCATGGCCGAAAGTGATACACCGCCTTGCTTCTTGCACATCCAGCTCACTGGCATGCCATCAATCGTAATTAAACCACCCGTGACAGATTTTCTGTCACCTTTGTCGGCAGCGAAATCCGCATCACTGTACCCAACCACTTGTAACAGCTCTGGTTCATCTTCTCTTCCAACCATAGAAAGTCGCAATGTCTTCGTGCCAGATAGGTACCTTGCAATTTTCTTGGCCAACTTATAATCTCCCATCGTGGGCTTATGAGTCCTTCTTGACGCTTTATGCACCGCGAAAGCGATATCTGGTCTGGTGCAACGCGAAATCCATAGTAAACTTCCCACAAGTGACTGGAAAACTTTCACCGTAACCACACCATCTCCTCCAAATACCGGTAACGGCACAGCTACCGATTCTTCATTATCGTTCCAGTCTTGAGTAATTGGAACACGCACGCTATGTCCCATTTCGAGACCATGCTCCTTCAGCATGTCCATAATTCCAACTTCTTGATCAAAAGTGTACCCATTTTCGTCATTGTATTGAATACGCATACCCAAAAACTTGCGAGCACATCCAAGATCCTTGACCGATAGTGAATTGAGCTCATCAAAAAAAGAATTCACAGAACCCTGATCACTTCCTGTTACCAGAAGGTCATCCACGTAAACTCCAACAATCAATAGATGACCATGTGTCCATCTAAAGTAGACACACATGTCCGTGAGACTTTGTTTAAAACCAATATCAACCAATTTCTGGTGTAGCAATTTACTCCATAGTCTTCCTGCTTGTTTTAATCCATATAGTGCCTTCTTCAGCTCCAAAACAATCTCGTTGTGCTGTGAAACACCGATCTTCTTCTTTAAGTCCTCTGCAATCTGCATTCCCTGTGGTACGTGGATGTAGATATCGAGATTATCTTCCTTGTCTGCTTTAACGTAAGCATTTGGAACATCTCCATGCTTCGCAGGCACCTTCCACTTTCTTGCCAGTGCGAAAATCATCTTCACGCTGGACATATCAATCACAGCAGCAAACGTAACTCCATAGTTCACTCCAAAGACTTGTTCATTTCCACACGCGACCAATCTCGCCTTCAATCTCTCGATGCCACCTTCTGCGTCACGCTTCGTCTTAAAAACCCACTTCGAGTGAAGTGCTCGAATATCTTTTGGAGCCTTCACAATACTCCAAACTCCATTGTTCTCCAAGGCTTGCAATTCTTCAGAAATTGCCTTCATCCATCCTTCCTTGTGACTGCTACGCATAGCTTCACCAAAGTTTCTCGGGTCAGATGTTGTGACAACATTGACAACGTCAGTATCCATGGCTGAACTCTCAGTTCTTTGTCCCTGGCTTGAGCGTTTATTCTTGCTCGCCGATCTTGTCACAACCTTCTTCTTTCTTGTCCACGGAGTCCTTTTCTCCATATTCTGGGTCTGGTCCTTACGACTCGTCGCCTCCTCCAGATCTTGATATCTGGTATTACCTCCCTCCTGAACTTGATCTCGCGCGGAGTCATTATCTTCCAGACTAGTAGGATTCTGCAGATACAATTCTTGAACTTGCTTGTTCTGGGTCTTGTTCAGTGTCTCAATATTTTGAACATGCTGCGAGACAACAACCACTTTATCCTTCGGCAGGTATACACGATACCCTTTGGTTTCTTCACCAATGCCAATGATAATCCCTTTTTGTCCTCTAGGAGCAAAATTCTTCTTCTTAGGATCTCTGTACACTGTACATGGTGATCCAAAAACGACAATTTCACCTAGCGACGGGGTCTGGTCCGTCAGCACCTTCATCGGTGACATTCGCTCAGCATTCGAATTTGTAGGGGCCCGGTTCAAAATATAAGCAGCATATTCAACCGCGTCACCCCAGAAATTGAGTGGCAATCCTGACGCAAATATCATGCAACGGGCCATATTCATGATGGTCCGATGCATGCGCTCAGCCTTTCCATTGCTGGCTTGGTTTCGTGCTTCACTTCGCTGTCTTGCAACGCCCGACTTCTTGCAGAATAAATCTACATTCTGGTACTCTCCTCCTGAGTCCGTGCGAAGAACGTGCACACGACAATTAAATTTTTTCTCGAAAAAAATCAGAAAATCTTTAAATTTCTGTGCTGCAGCGTCTTTAGTGCGAGCAAGAAATACACGACAATAATTGCTCTTATGATCAACGAAGTTGATCATATAGCGATTATTTAGCCGATCCTTTGGAGTCATCGGGCCCTTGATGTCCGAACAAATAACACCTCCAACCCTGTCAATAGGTGAGTGTTGCCCAGAGTCGTGCCTTTGCTGTTTGTTCTTGGTCTGTTTGCCTTGTGAGCAAGTGTAACAAAAGTGGCGACGCTTTTCCGTAAGCAAAAAATCACAATAAGGATCTTTAGCCAATTTTATTATCGTTTCGTAGTTTAAATGGCCAAAACGCTTGTGAAAGTCCATTAAACTGCCTTTTTGGACAGCGGAAGACACTTGGACACTTGCTTCTTCACCCAAGACCGCCATAATTACTCCAACCGGTGCAACATCGTTATCCATCACTCGACACGGCACCACAAGAACGTTACCAACCAATTGAACATCAAAAGCCACAGCTCCAGTAACTGTATTGGATATAACACGTTGAGTTCCATTGTATCCAAGTGTGTAACCCTTTCGGTCCAAGATTCCATACGAAATTAAATTATGCTTCACACCCTCAGCAAAGTATACATCTGTAAGAGTCAGCACACGCTCAACTCCACAAGCCAAGACGTTAATTGTCACAGTGCCTCTTTTGCTTATAAGAAGCGGCTGTCCATCGGGTTGATGACAAACCCCTTCACACGACTCAACGTTGTGAAGCCACGACTCATCACTGACCAAGTGTCTACTGGATCCGCTATCCAAGATCCAGACATCGTCTTGTTGACTTGAGACTTCATTCACAGCAAGCGACAAATTTGTTCGAGGTCCTTGTGGTCGCTTGCGTTTCGGACACGCTCCCTGCAAATGTCCAACTTCGTGACAAAAGTGACATCTACGCGTTTCCTTGCGTTGTCGATCGGAAACAGAATTAACGACTTCTCTTGTGCTCACTTTTTCTCGCCCGAGAGTTCTTTCTCTCCCAGTGTGTAACTCATACGCTTGCGCAAAGTGAGCGAGCTGTTCTGCTTGTACCAGGTAGTCCGTTCTCGTGTGATCAACTTTTGCCAGTAAAATTGTTCGCATAGCCTCAGAGGCGTATTGCACAATATTGTCCAGAACCAAATAATCACCACCGTTTCCACAAACTTCGGAAATTGCCGCCAAATACATGTAATGTTCTGGCCAACTTCGGTTCGGGTTCTTACGTTGCGTAAAAAGTTTCATCGCTTGGGCCGGTGTTATACTTGTCTTGAATGCTTCAAGCATTTTCTCCATTACGTACTGCAAAGTGGGTAATTGACTCCACCACATCGCAACTTGTCTGTTATAGTATCTCTCTGCAGTCCCAGAGAGATACAAACCAAGCAAATCCACTTTCACATCTTCAGGCCATTCAAATCCACAAGATGACTGCGCCAAAGAAATTTGTCGCTCGAATCTCCGACCCCACTCCAAGAATCCAGAACCAAGTCCTTCATACAGTTCGCTTCCATCAAACGGCCGAATGCCGAGCTTCTTTTGCCTTGCATCAGGATATCGCACTTGAAGTATATTTCCTCGTGCATGACCGTATCCATTTAAGTCGGGATGTTGCATGTACCCATGTCCTCCAGCTTGGGGCAACATATCAGGAATTCCAAGTCCTGGTGCAACTTGACCGCGAACGTCCTGGCTGGGTCCATTATATTCGGGCTGTCCAGCACCAAACGACATCTGCCCTTCAACCGGTCTCCTCGGAGTAAATACCGGCGCATCATTGGACCCTTCCAAGTTGTCCATGTGCATTCTTGTTCCACTTCCCAAAGCCGAAACAAACAAACATGAATTCTAGGCGGAGTCATAGGCGCGTCCCTATGTCTTCCACGCCCTTCCTCAGCTTTTATCAACCTTGTCTGTGACTCCTCAAGCCTATCCAGACGTCCGGTTATCCCTGTCATCGACACCAGGAGTTCGGACGCGTCGCCGCTCCTGGTGACAGCATTGTCCACCGCATGGGCAACACCTTGCTTGCTCTTCTCTTCATAATCTTCATGCTCACTGACCCTTTCGTGACCAGTGGCAGGGGCTGCTTCCGCATACGCGCCGTCGCGCGTGTCACCCCTGAGTGCCCCGTGCTTTGGGCTCATAACCTGTAAGAAGTAGGAGTTAAGTAAAGTAAATGACTTGTATATTACCGCGCACCAGACGCGTTTTTTTTTTCGGCCCCCCGCCGGGGGCCTCATCAGTGGTTTGTCAATCTACAAGTGAGAACTATCCATACGTCTAGCTGCCGTACGACCTATAATAATGCTTAGAACCCTAAAGAACATTCTAGACATACCCTATCATGGGTCGAATCTCTGGAGTCGAATCCAGTGCATCATGCACTTACAACAGAAGCCGCAGGTGATCCACTCGTGGGTCGATTTAAGAAGTGAAATGAAGCCAAGCGCAAGGGTCGCCATACGGGTATTGGTAAGTGCCACGGTATGACCATTGCCCGCCTGCCGTTCAAGGTCATTTGGATGCGCCGCATTCACGTGCGACGTCTTCTCCTTCACATGTACCGCGGGGCAAAAAAGATGGATAAGCATTTGTATCGGGAGCTGTACATGTACAGTAAGGGTAACTAGTTGAAGAAGTAGTGCGTAGTCATGGAGACGATCAACAAGATGTGGGCGGAGCGCTATCGTGAAAAAATGCTCGAGGAGCAGTCGGATGCCCGCAATTAAAAGCCCAAGTCTATTCGGGAGTGCAAGACGAAGAAGACGGCGGCACTGCCGGTTGCTAAGGAAGAGTTATTGGAATTTACTGAGCGCTATGACGTGACTCATCGAGACTAGGTATTAAATGACTACCATGTGTGGAAACAGTAGTTTGCGTCACAGCAGTTTGCTTCACGTGTAAGCCCCCTTGTGATAGTCTTCTGTAGCGATGCAGTAAGTGCATTGTTCGTTCCATAAATTTCGTCCAGCTAGGTGGTTGCTTTCTCGTGTTTGTTTCAACTGTGTTCTCACGCGATCTGCTTTTTGTTTAAAATGTGGTCTCACGCTATCTGCTATTTGTTTAAAATGTGTTCTTACGCGGTTTGCTTTCTTTGTGCACCTTCACTCCATGCATTGTGACGACGGATGGTGCACGAAGGTTGCGCAATCGGAGAACCTCTCAATCATCACGAAATTATGTATGCGCATATCGCTCGCGTCACCGATGTGATCGTAACATACACGAAGCACTTGCCTCTCATCACTTATGGCGATACTTGAAGCCAAGCTGTATGAGGTACGAAGTGTCCCTTACGTCCACAGAAACACGCGCACCATGAGAACCTCTTCTGCTTTTCTTGGATCTACAAGTGCGGCTGGTCTGGAACTGCCCTCTTTCTCTATCGCTTCGTGGCTGCTCGTGGTAGGCTTTTGACGTGCTGCTGACCGCATTGAGGTTCCAAGAAGTCGTGCTGCCGGCCGCATCCACAACGCAGGTGACGTACGAATTGGAGGAGTCTTAGCATCGGTGATCAAAAACAAGCTAAAAAGGACAGTGCTGCGGTAGATCGCTTGTTGACAAGTACTTGTTAGCTTTCTGTAAAATGGGAAAGTCTTGACTACTTGGCTATTGCTGTACGCACTAGCAATGAAGCAGAAATGCACTGACCTTGCTGGAGCTGATGCGGTCACTTTGTCATTAACATCTGGCTGATGGAGCAGGAAACTGCTATTGTCGAGGCAAGCGAATGCTTCATGGCATTTCGTACGTTGGGAGGTTGGCTGGCAATCTGGTTGTTGCCCACTACTCTGATTTTTAGTCGCTGGTGACAAACTGTGGATAACGCTAGCCGTTCAGTGATTACACCACCGGATTATCCGCAACTTGGATGAACCACCGGGCGTTACGCCGATTCTAGACGTCAACACGTGACTTTGCAAGAGTGAAGATGTGACCGTTGCCAAATGTCCCTAGGAGCAAGACACGACGCCGTTGTACTTCAAATATTGAAAGTGCGATCCGTCAAAGCCGAGAAGTAGGGAGATGCTTGGTTGACTGCGCACGGTCCACCCGACTGCGGAAACTAGCGAAGATGCAATGGCGTTGGTTGGCTTCGAGTCGCACAGTCGTTTTGTTTTCTGTTATTGTGAAGCGCAGCCTGCCGATAGCAACATTGCGTCAGCGCTGCATTTTATCCATAGTAAATTGTGTCGGTGACGTCATATTTGCTGGCATAGATTCGATCCGTACGCTTCCAAGTTGGTATGATCACGAACACGATCGATTGACACCAGCTTCTTGTCTATGATATTCCTGTAACCACAGATCGAATCTGGACGTGTTGATAGTGATCAAATGAATCGCTGATTCAGCTTCGCGATAGAGTTGCAAACTCCGTGGCTGTTAGGATTAAGCGTCGCGGGGTACACAGTTTCGTCAACTCGCCGACTGATGCGGGTCTTCTCAACTGCATCATTTGTCATCACAATTGGATTTGTTGCATTAAGCGCTCGCTGTAGCTTGTCATCACGCACAGTTTATTTGCGTTTAAACAGGACTGTCTGGCAATTTGTGTGACCGCGATGCCAATGTGTGAAACTTTGTCCTCGCAACAGCTCTGTCTTCCGATACAACTGGCGCATAACGCAGAGCGGGTGTGTATTGTCAACCGTGATTCCTATCTGATGTACAGTCTTCCCTCTGCTAAGTTATAGACTTGGTGGAAGGCAAATCCTATAACATAGCAGAGGTTATTCCATAGCAGAGGTATGCTGCGGAAAAATTATTAATTTAATTAATTAAAGAATCAAAAACGCAACAAATCTCCAGGCTTCCAAAACCTGTCTGTCACGTGTCACGTGCCCTATGAACGTTTTGTGATTTTGGTTGCCCCACCAGTCTCTGGTGATTTTGCTATCTCTAATTAAGAAGTTCCACCAACTGTACCTTGCTCACTCACAACAGATGTCGCAGATACGTCTTACCAACGAGCAGAAGCTGCGCATCTGCAAGCACGAGGATGCTAACCCGCGCATCACCCAGACTGCCCTGGCGGCTTGGACAAAGGACGCCTTTGACCTCCAGAAGGCACTTTCCCAGGCAGCGATCAGCAAAATCATCAAAAAAAGAAAGGAGCTTGAGGCAATGGACACCACTGACCTCAGCGCTAAGCGTCCTCGGACTGTCCAGCACCCAGCTGTGGAGGAGGCCGTCGCCTTCTGGGTCTTGCAGTGCCAGCACCGTGGGGTCGCTCTCACTGGACATCTCATACGGGCCAAGGCTCAGACCTTTTCGGGATCAATGGGCGTCTCGGAGGAAAACATCAGCTTTTCGCATGGGTGGCTCCACAAATTCCAGCAACGCCACAAACTGCGAGCTGTCCGCATTCATGGCGATAGTGGCTCAGCAAATATGGGCGCTCTAGAGGAGGCTCTTCCACACCTCAAGGCCGTGGTTGCTGGTTATGCGCCACGTGACGTGTACAACATGGACGAAACTGGTAGGTCTGAGAATACAGTACAGTACTGTACTCATTGTACAGTACAGAAGCATCTCAAAGGCTCACTTTCTGTTCAGGTTTGTTCTACAGTATGACGCCCGACAAAACGATCGCCCAGCAAGAGGTCGAAGGGTTTAAAAAAGACAAGGTACATTATTGCTCTCCTCTTGGTTTCCTGCGTTTCTCGGACACTAACAACTATTCTAGACGCGCATCACAGTTGCTCTCACGGCAAACGCTGATGGATCCGACAAACTCCCGCCGGTCTTCATTGGACACGCCAAAAAGCCGCGGTGTTTTGAGCGCAAGACAGCTGAGCGACTGGGCTTTCTCTACCGCAACAACAAGAAAGTCTGGATGACTGGCATACTCTTCCAGGAATGGCTGGGAGACGTCGACAAAAGTATGAAGGTAATTTGGGGCATGCCTTGAACATCATCGTTGTGGTAAAGTAAAGGAGGTTTGACTAACGCGTTGACCACAGCAAAAGGATAGAAAAATCCTGCTTCTCATGGACAACGCTCCTTCACACATTGTTGCTGACCTGGAACTCACCAACATCACGGTCCAGGTTCTTCCTCCTAATACGACTTCAAAGGTCCAACCCATGGATGCTGGGATTATTGCCGCATTCAAGAGGCACTACGGCCGGCTGCATCTGCAGAATGCCTTTGACCGTGACGAGCGCGGAGAAACCAACCTTTACAAGGTTGATCAGCTCACGGCCATGCGTTGGTCGCTGGCTGCGTGGAGCGAGATTTCCAGTGCCACAATCGCCAACTGCTTCCGTCATACGGGACTCATGGACGGTCCGGCTCTGCCGACTGGTGGGGGGTGAAAACGAAGCCGGCACTGTTGGCCATCAGGCCCAGCAGGAGGCAGCAGCTGCTGCAGTAGAGGAGCAGCGCGTGGAACAGGATCTTGTTTCGGCGCTGGAAAGGCTTCCGCTCCGCAATCCCATGTCGATCGCTTCTCTTCTCAATCCGGCTGAGGAGGAGGAGACGGCGCATGCGGAGCTGACCTATGCCGAAATCATCAAGCTTGTTGAGGATCCGTATGGGGAGGAGGAAGGTGCTGCTGAGGCGGAGGAGGAGGTGGAAAAGCATTCGAAGGCTGAAAAGCTTGCCAGCCTTAGTCTATCCATCGCCCTTCTCGACCTTTCTCAGGAGTCCCATCGTATAGCTCACCGGACCCTTCGCCAAGTCCAAGCTGATCTCCGTAGTGCGAGCACCACTCAGGCCACACTTGATTCCTGGCTGAAGTAGTTCCCTCTCCTCTTTCCACTCCTTTCTTGCAGTGAATAACAAAAAAAAGGTTCTGCGTACAATATTTCTGCTCACGGCGGACAAAAATATTTCCTCTGATAAGTTGTATTTGGCCCTCAGGCTATTCCGTATAACTTATTCCGTAGACACCATAGAACGAGGTCGGTGGAGACCGAATCCTATAACTTACCGGAGGTTATTCCATAGCCGGGGATAACTTAGCAGAGGGAAGACTGTAGTTTAAGTCAGCACCACGACTCTAGAAAGGTACTTTCACTATAGTTGAAAAGGTACTCGAATTAGATCATTACGTGGGCAGAAGTACTATTTTCAGCAAGATAGAGTACGCGGAGACCAACTGTACCAGACGGAGTGGCGATAACATTCAACGCTCGCCACAAACTCTATTGGACCATCCAACGAGCCGGCATATCCAATCATTGATAGACTGTCCACTTTTTCCCTCGACCGACTGACTCATTCACGAATCTACCGTCTAAAACGCAAGTCATGCAGCGCCCGAATGTCTCTCTGCTCTATGCCCTCGCACTGCTCACTGCTGCGCTAATAGAAAAAGCCGACGCGGCCGCTGTCACCGACACGGTAGTCACAAACAGAACGACTTCCAACATGGAATCTTCGACTGAGACCCATTCGGAACTTCAAACTAGAAGGTTTCAACGACTTGACAAGACCGAGGAACGAACTTCCCCATTTGCTTCGAGCATTTCGTCGCTTTCCAAGCCTTTGACCGAGTCAATGAGGCCGATGATCAAGACCACCACTCGGTCTTTTGCCACCGTTCCGATGACAAAGTCGTCTTTTAAACTCCTGGTTCGGTCGATGCGGTCACCGATCAAGAAAAACAGCTTGCGGGCTCGATACTGGCTATGGCGAAAAGAAACCGTTGACAGTGTTTTCAAGCGCTTGGGGCTCGATAAGGGACTGGAGGAGACTTTGTTCAGTCCGAAATTCAAGGCGTGGGTCACGTTCGTTGACCTTGTTAACTTGCACAACCCCGATAACAAAGTTTCCATTGCTCGGGTGCTGTCGGAGACGTACACGGATTTAGAGTTGGCACGATCGATCGAAGCGTCTTTCAGTCGGAGGAACAAACGTCCTTTGGTCGCGAGATTGGAGAAGGAACAGATGGAGAACTGGGAGCACGACGGAAAGTCGATCAACGACGTTTGTATGCTGCTCAAGCTTAACGTGAAAGGGGGTAACATTTTTGATCGTCCGGAGATGAATCGATGGTATTTGTACGCTGCAAAGACGAACAAGGTACACTACGTCACATCTATAATCGAGGCTTTATCGCGCATGCACGGGTGGGAAAAGTTGCGCAGGATGGCCCATACAGCCAAGCCGCAACGTTTCAGAATGCAGGATAAAATCGTGACTCTAAGGAGCAAAATCGATTGGTGGTACCAACACAAGGACTCGTTCTAACAAACATGATTTCCCGCGTTGCAAGCTGTGGGGACAATGGGATGCAATGGAGATTAGAACGTCACGACAGTAATCAGGACTGTCCGCACAAAACCCCAACAATGCGCAGTCAAGCGTTTTGAGCCGTTTGACAGACGGTTGTCGAGTATCCAGAGCCTGGGTGAGAGAGTAGGGAGGCTGCAGCAGAAATCTTTTGTGTGACCCGTGACTTGATGCTGTACGTCTGAGATTCATCGACTTGAGTATATACACTGGACAATAGTCATGTTGTGTGCTATGCTATATCATGCTGGGTCTGATAAGCTACGCAGACACTTGGCGTTAGTTCGTGTTGCAGTCTTTTCGTCACCGCTTGTATGTAAATGTTAGACCACAAAGAGACGGCGACGATCGTTCATGTCCCGTCAGGATTTGAGGCAGGTAAACAGACTTGCTTTGCGTTCACGACATACAGGGATGGAGAGAGATACGAACGCATGTGTAAATTTGCGACGTGTAGGACCAGATTTTTCATCCGCTCTAGCTGTCACTGACCCTGCTCGGATCTGATAACATCTACATGACACATTTCAAACAGGTCGTAGCGCCTCTCACGACTACAGGTGCTCTTGTTCTCTGTCCTTTCATGGTAATAATCTACTGAGGATAACTAAAATGCTCACTTCCAAGCTGACATAGTTACCAAAGGTAGCAATATACGTCGTTAGCGTCTGAGCCACCGTTTTCAGCATCTGACCCGTATAAAGACCATCTAAATGTTTCCATCCATGTCGCAACACTCGCGTAGGTGTATTTGATTGCGCGAGTTCACAGGCGAAACTCGCGGCGACCTTCACATTGCCAGCTTGATTGACATCCATCAGCTACCGTCAATGACATTTTCGGGCAGTGTAGAAGACAAACTGGTCTGCCCTCAATCCCTTCAACCGCGCGTCTAGTACTCGCAACGCAGCGCAGCAAATGAGTCGTATCAACCTAGCAGCACTTGAGATACTCAACTGCAAACGAACGTCATCGAGCGCAGTAGCTATCAACATCCTTCGAAAGGTCAACACTACTTTGCGAAAACGCGACATCGGGTGCATTTAGTTCCACCACGTTACCTGAACAGCATCATCAGAAGTGCTCACCACTGCTTGTATCAGAATGCACTGACTGAATGCACGTTAGCAAACACTTTACATCGGACCGTGCCATTCACCCCACACGTCCACATGAAACACACCCAGCACACAAACACCAGTAGGTTGTATCCAAATCTTCCCGTATTGTGGCAGTCCCAAGTATAGCCCCTCTTTTCTCTCTCTCTCTCTCTCTCTCTCTCTCTCTCTCCATGTCCCATCTGTCTCGCCCCATCTAGCTACAAGAGACCGCCGCTCGTTTAGTCGTACCCTTTCTTGGAAAAGTCCACAAACACCGTCTCCTTCGCCGGCAGCGGCGTCATGTCAATGTTAATGCCTTCGAGAGGCGACAGCTCCACGTCGTCCGGGATCTCTCCATCTGGAAAGCACACGTCCAGTGGAATGGGCGCATTGCGCATGTAGAGACTGCCTCCAGGCATGTAGTTGAAGATATAGCGGTCCGGATGCGTGTAGTGGTCCACTTTTTCCTGGGCTTCACGCACGAGACGCTTTGCAAGCCTGAAGTAGCAGTACCAAAGTAGCAAAAATAAGAATCCGAATCGGTACATCACCAAAAACGCACACACAAAATAATCGAACGGCTCAAAATTCGCAGCACTACAATAACCCCACGGACTAAAACTAAACCCACGCACCCGGAATTAGGGTCCAGCTGCCCATTCGAGTCAAATTGGGCACGAATCTTGGTGGCCTCTTCGTTCCAGAGACGGCGGTCAATGACCCACGAGTCCAGAGTCTTGAGCGACTTCTTGTACAGACGCTGCACCGTTTGCGTGTGCGAGAGGTGAGGGGCAGCGCCCACGAAACGTCCCACGACCTCGCGCAGAGTCGCGTTCATATTGGCGTTCACCACGGGCTTCACCATTATTGTCTACGTGCTCGGCAGCCCCTTATTCAGGTTTCGTTCGAGCAACATGCGCCAGCTGGTTGTTGGACGCGAGCGGTCCGGTTCGTTGAACCGGTCAAGACGCTGACTCGCTTTTTTGGCACGACTGTTCACTGACGGGTCATGTCAAAAGTAGTTACCACTTAAGGAACTCTAGGAGCATGTTTTGTAAATTATTCACGTCAGCTTTTGCTCCGTGGATAAACGGCCTTCCCTCATCGCAAGTGCTTCTCATTTGCTGAGTGAGATGTTTGTGCTTTTTCCGTTATGTTGCTGAAAGCCCAGCGACTCTATTCTGCATGCGCACGTTTTGAACCAGGATACTTCGATCTTGCCTATCATCTACAAATTAAACGTCTGTTAGCGTGCACTTTGATTGCGACATACCAAACCATTATTCGGCTTTACGATTTCGTTTAGGACAACTGCAAGTATTAGTGAGCAACATTTTTCTTCATTACGATGGGACTGCTCGAGCTGTGGCAACTCACGTGGATACTAGCTATTGCAGCTGCATTGCTGTCGTTCCAAAGTGATGTCTGTCGTGCATTTGTTTTGCAAGGCAAGACGCGCACTTCAGCACGTCTTCCCCACCTATGGCTGTTGCGGGTGGAAATGCCCAAGAGCTACTGGACGTGGTTCTACCTCGTTGCCGCACTACATGGCAATTTCATACTGATCGCTATCGTGTTTTGGCAACACTCCAAAGTCGTCCAAGATGCGCTGCACGTCGCCCATCCATCGACGGATCAAGGAACGACCAATGATATCACGATCCAGCCACACGCTATCGCGTTCCTTATGCTGTTTGCAGCGCATACGACACGACGCTTGATCGAGTCACTCCTGGTCACTGCGTTTGGCACGGCCAAAATGCACGCAAGTAGTACGTCACAACGTTGTGCTTTATTTGTTTGCGTCCGATAAAAAGTGATTGAACTGACACAATACCTACAATCAGTACTTTTCGTAGGCATGTACCATTACGTGGCCACGGTCCTGTCCGTCCTGTCCGATCCTGACGCCATCACGCACCATCCAGACACCAATGGTCGTACAATTATGACGGGACTCGGTCTCGTGCTTTTCACGCTGGCGTCGTACCATCAATCCCGCTGCAACTACCTCCTAGCACAGCAAAAGCGTGCGAATCACATGAACTACGTGATTCCTTGCGGCGACTGGTTCAACGTGGTGCGCAGTCCACTCTACACAGCTGAGCTGATGCTCTACATCAGCTTCGTCTTGGTCACTGGCGGGAGTATCTTCATGCTCTACCTCGTGTCTGTCTGGGTCCTGGTCAACCAAGTCCTCCTCGCCCACCTCAACTCGCAATGGATCGAGCACAAGTTCCGCGACCAAAAAGACGAGCTGCTGCCCAAGTGGAACCTCGTCCCCTTTATTTGGTAACCAATCAAGCAACCAACACTGGCACACCACTCACCTCCCTCTCTGTCTCACTCTTCCTTCCTCGGCTTCTTTCCCGGAGCTTCCGCCTCATCATCTTCACTCCCACTCTCCTCACTGCCACGTTGACTCTCGTCACTCGCTCCCTCCCGCTGCCTCTTCTTCTCCATCTTCTCCATCTCCTCTTCCGATCCACTCTGCAACTCGTCCGTCTCCTCTTCTTCCGTGGCCCACACTTGCTGCGTCGTCGCCTCCTGCTTCTCCTCCCTAGCAAGCTGGATCCGAGCCAAGTCCTGTCCGTACTTGTTGCCAAAGATGTTATAGTACCCCCCGGGGCCAGACGCACACCCTCGACAGCCACTGTGTTTCTCCTGCACGATCTGCCCTTCCGACAGCTGCTGCCTCGGGACGCGACAGATACTGACGGTCCCGTAGTTGTAGTTCTTGGGGTTAATGGCGAACGTACTGCAGAGCCGCTCGTAGCCCCTTTTTTTCCACTTGGCAATCAAATTCGCGTCCACAAATTTGCACTGTACGCAGTGGTCGTACACTTTTTTAGAAATCTTGTGGTACTTGTAAAACATGTCGTACACATAGCGACTGCGCTGCCAGTTGATCTGATGCACGGGCCACAGCGCCTCGCACTGACGCTTGCCTTCGTGCGGCTCGTTCATCTTCTCCCGCAGTTCGCGCTCAAGCGCGTCCAAGACGGGCTCGATGTACTCAAAGCCGGGAGGGGCGCGGCGCTTTTTGCTCCACTTGGACATATTGAGATTGGTTAATTCGTCGATGGGCTGGGACGGAATAGGACTGCTAGATTACGAAAAAGACCAAAGCGAGAATCGATAGAAGCTAGAGAATGTACGGAATCGGGACAATAGTCGATTCGACATGTGGCTGCATTTCTGCCCTTCATTTCGAGGACAACCTAGAGAGTGCCCTAGCGAAGCCATTTGTAGATTTGCGTGTGGCGTAGCGGGTTGGGATTGGAACGCGAGCTGTTGATCTGAGAGCTCCATCCTAGCGATCGTCATTACGACGGCATCGAGTTTTACCTCATCACTGCAGCAATGGAGATCGAGAGACCTCCATGATCCGCACGATCTCCCGTATTTCTTGATTGATCGCGTCTGCAATACTGATCGTTTGCACTCCATCAAACGGTCTTTGTCGATGACAGTGACTTACAAGCACTGAGGCTCTAGTGACAGCCCCCACCATTATTCGTGAACGAGAAAGAGTGAGAGAGATGGAAATGTAGGATGAGAGAAAGGAAAGCAGGGAGGATACATGGCGGTGGGTTGATGATTCGAAACCTATCGGCGTGAGGTCAGGTGAGGTGTAGGGTGAGACCTGGACATGCATCCACCTACACAAGTCCCGTGTGAGTCTATCTTTTCATACGCTCTCAGTGCATCGCTGAATCTACAGCAGAGAGGAGCGACTCGTAACCGTGCAGCAGCATGCTCAATAACAGGGTCTCACCTACTTTAACTCCTGCAAAAGGGGGTCCCTACCACAGGCGTGTTCAAGCTGAAGGGCTGAAACGACGACTGATTCGAACTGGACATTGAGAAAAATGGCAATGTCTGAGTGTAAAGGGGAGTTGAAAGTGGATGATGTGCGACAGGACCTGATGGTGCAGCGACTCGTTGTAAAAGACCGTGCGACTTTACGTATCAGGGAGAGAACATGATTTCGGAGAACGTTTAATCATCCGGATCGGGCGACATCACCCCTTGACGACGTAATCAATGAACTAAGGCACGACCCAACTGTTGCTTTGAGACTTGCTTGATTGTATCATCGCTCTTGTATTCTTTGTAAACCCGGGACGGGAGTGAGCCGATACACCTGAAGCTAGAATTGAAGCTGGTACATCGTTTCGCTCCTTGGTTCACTACGCGACTTGGAAGTCAAACTAATTGTCTGCTTTGTAAGTCAGCTGCCTACTGATCCGGAAAAGGTTTATTGGCAGCGAACGTTTTGCGATCCAGGAAATGCATGCGTCTCACCAACTAGCATAACGAACAAGCTCTCGCTGCCGTGTCATCCTCGTCTCGATTCACCAAGCTGTACATGCGCGTTACTGCGTTACTCTTTGCGGATAACGTCTTGATTGCCAAGAAGACGCGTGAGTGAAGAGGTCTACAATCAGTGTCATGAGACATCATTCAGGACTTCATGTCCCGAAAGTACCCCATTAGTCGCCTGGCAATTTACGTGGTGCAAACAGAAAAGCGCTTGTGGAATAGGAGGTCAGTCCATCAGGCGTACTGATTGACTCTGAGGACACACAAACGTTGCGTGGCTGCACTTTGATACCGCTACACCTGTGTTCAGCGTATCCATGTAGCACTTCCGAGCGCATCCGTCGAAACGAAGCATGATAAATCGGTTCTGCGGCATGCGATTTCGAGCGATCATATCCCTTCTCCATCTTGGTCGCACATGACAGTTGCGCGTACTACGTAATCGAGGCAGTACTGCAACCTACTCAAGTAACACGTTACGCTTCCCATTGAAGTTGGCCAGCAGGAATGGTAGAATCGAACTACCGTAGCCAGTATGGCCCTGCCTCATCGTTAGCTAGCTGCTGCTTAATCACAGCAATGTGTCCGTAGACTCCTCTACCAAGCAGCCTTACAAACTAAAGAGATCGTGATGTCCACGAAGTTGACATTGTCGAGTATTCCATCATGCGATCGTTATGACAAGTTGAGAGCTCACTTTGGGCGCCCAGTCAGTCGATAACCGCTCAACACTTTACCTGTAACCTCCCGCCCTTGCAGCTGCACCCACGACAGGGCCAGCAAGTCTTCCAGTGCTGTAAACATGTAGCTAGGTACATCCAAGGCCAAGGCGATCCAGCTGCGCCGTTCTCCCACGGTATCTTGCCCAGCGTGCGCAAGGGACTTGTTCGCAATCATGAGTACTGCAGCTGTCCCTCGCCAGAACGTTTGGCGTAATCTTGCGCCGCAGATTTGCACGTGTCGTCACAATCAAAGCTCGCACTCGGAACCATAACGAACCTCAAACATCCGCCCTCTTCAATACAAACAGTAAGGCAAGGCGCAGAATAAATGAGCCAACAGCTAGTTGTCTATGCAACCTTGCCGCCTGGTTAAGGCTGATCCAAGAATTTCCAACTCGCTCGCAATAGGGGTGCACTTGCGTCGTGTTCCGTGCCTGCATCAAGACCAGCTGGCCCCATCAGGTTTGCGAGACCGTCATCACGATTAGGACTCCGGCCTTCAGCGTCCCATCCCGCATCCCATTTCGCGCGGGGTAGGATGTGGCATGAGCCGTTACCATCCCGCATTCCACAATTATCTTGTAACACAATGTTGCGATTCTGTACATTTTCTACTTCTATTTTATTCTTGGGAGTCAAGAGAGCGTAAATGAAAGCGTCATCTGTTTAGTATGTACACATTGTGGAATTCAGTATTTATTGACGCTCTTCAACACTTCTGCCAAGGCATGCATCGTCGAGGCATTATCGATACTTGTAGCGATGATTTGGTTGCTTCATAGTAACTCGACTGCTTAAAAGCCTCGTCAAGAGGTTTTACTATTCCAACAAACATCAAAATCGCTGTCGAGCAAATCATGCAGCTTAGAGTTTTCGCTGAGACCATGCTTCAAGACATCGCTACACGCTAGAACTCAACTACATTGATGTTGCTTCGTGTGGTCAATCTTCACAATTCCATTACCACTACGTTTAAGACGATCCCTGCTTGCATGCGTGAGCCTTAACCGCACTACTAAGGATGTAGTAGAACAAGCGTTCTACTACAGCTTCCACATTCGTTGTATGCAGATCCCGTCGTTTCGCAATACATTCATGTGGGGTGAAATGGTCACTGATCTCGTCCCGCTGAACACTGCGTCCCATCCCGTCCTGCGCGGGACAAAGTCCTACTCTCAATTGGCTTGTAGACAGACAGACCCCTTGTCGCAGACCTTCGCTTCCAATCCCCGGTCGTACGTAGTCGAGCGACCACAATCCCCACCCAATCATAGCGGTTCAGCCTCCATCACGCTTTTTCCATGCTGACTCGAGCCATCTCGGAATTTTCCACGCCTCGTCATTTGCGAAATTCCAGTCGACCATGACGCCCTCGGACTCGCTCCGGACTTCGGTTGGCAGTACCGGCCACGCCTTCAGTGGCGAGACTTGCACTGATTTATACGCGGAACGGGTCATGACCCCCCGACTCGCGCTCTTCTCCGTTCTCACGGGACTTGCCGTGTGCACTTTGCTGCTCAGGTGGCACCGCTGCCGCTCACGACGTCGGAAGGTCAACCCGTTCCAGGAGAAGGTCGTGTTCAAGTCGTTTGCCGATCTTGGGGACCACACGAGATGGAAGCGGTGGCTCACGTGCTTTCTGGCCTCGACCGTGGCCTGGATCACCGTCTTCCTCTGGTGCACGAGCTCGATGACGACTGCAAACAGGAACCCCGCCCAGCCTCGACCTCGAATGGTCTTCAGCTTCACTACAACCAGTCAAGGGATCGACAAGATACGACCGACACTCGATGGACTCGTCCATCAGATCGACGACTTTGACGCGATCTACGTCGTCATCCCCCGGACCTATCAAGACCGGCCCGTGACCATTCCGTCGTGGCTGTTGGCAGCTGATTCGACGTTGAACCGCACGACATTCTATGGTCTCTCTTTTGCTACCGGGACAAGTCCGTACCACCCGAAGGTGAGACTTGTGGTGTTGGACACGGACCTTGGCCCAGCGAGTAAAGTGCTCGGGACGCTGTTAGTCGAACAAGAGCCGGATACCATTATTGTTTATGGAGATGACGACCGCGTGTACCCACCGCAACTACGTGAACGCGTGCAGCACTATACACAAAAGTACCCAAGTGACGCCATTGCGGTGCTAGGTGGGTGGATCTCTATCGAGGATGGACTTTATTGTGGACGGAGCCTCGCCGTTGGTGTGAACCGCGTGTCGTTCGTTGGGGGAGCAGGAGGAGTCGCTGTAAAGCGAAAGTTTTTCGGCATGGGGGACGCGACGATGCCTGCGTTTCAAGTGGGGAACCTGTCGAAAGCGTGTTTCCTAGGGGACGACTACTACCTCTCGCATTTACTAAGCCGCAACGGCGTGCGTCGGCGACTGGTGTTTGACAGCTGCTGGAACGTCGAGTCTCTATCGGAATCGTTCTCCCACGGAGGTCTATCGCATGCTCCTTCGACTCACCCCGGCGGAGCGAATGTTGAACATTATCAGCAATGCATTCGAGAGCTAGGAGAGCATCACGATCTATCTGGTGACAGCGAGTTTGGCTCGAGCTTCATGTTTGTGTTTTCAAGGGCGTGGGGACTATTTCGAGGTTTGTGGAATTTATACGTTGGAAGTGGATTCGTGACGTGTTGAGGGACGAATGGACGTCTATGCATGCAGAACGTACTACAGTCTTCCAATAGGCAGCTGTGTATGGAAGTGGCAAGGGCGTGTGACCTTACGCTGGTGGAGTGGGTGACTTCCGATGTAACATATCTCCAGGTAGATGGCTCAGCATGGAACGACTTTGCTTTGCCCATTTCTCAAACCGAAGCGGTTCCAACACAACATACCTCTCGACTAATTGTCAGGTCAATGAACCATCGCTTCTGTGCTATTGCTGGTGCTGTTATCGCACTCACTAGCCGTGTGCAAGACGCCGTTGCGATGATGCAAGGGAAGCTGCAAATCTACAGGGACCCAGCTTTCAAGCGACTCCGCCGGATCATTGGCATTTCGATCCCGAATCTGTGCTACGATATGCCCTGTGCTGACCTCAGTGGCATTATCTGTTCAGCCAAGTGGACAGGTCTTCCAGCAAAGGGGTCCCCTTCTGATAGCGACCAAGTGAAGATTGCGTTCTATGCTGGTAGCAATTGTACAGGTAAGTTCGTCCTGCTGAAAACAAGTGCAGGACAGGTACTTGACTTTGCCGAATTTGGCCTGGACCATGCCGTCACCTCTTTTGCGGTGCTCGAGACGTCAATGATGATGATGCACTTATCCAGCAACATTTGTGAATGGTAGCGAGAGCAAAGTGGGTAGTTGTTGTCGCTCTGCAGTCCCTAACAGCTAACATACAGCAAAAACGTGGTGGTAGTCCGTTGTTTCGAGCTGATAAGCTATCGCTGCATCCTTGAAAAAGTACTCACATTCGCTAGGTTACACTTACAATATTATGGATAGGGCTGTCGTGGTCTTTCACGAGAGAATTGCGATGCACGGCGACGTATTTGATTCTCCATGCGCTTGGTGAGATATGCGGGGGATTTGTCGTACGACAAGTACCGTGATTCAATCTTTTGTACTGCTGTTCTGATTGTCTTCAATCTGTCAGTCGATCTCTTGGTCTGCACGACGTGGTGACGTCTTTTGTTGTCCTGAAGTTCACGAGTCGGTATGTGATCATGCTGGATAGAGACCGCAGCAGCATCAGTCAGCGTCTTGCTCGCCACCGTTTTGCACTTGCTTTCAGACGACTCGGAGTTTTTTCGGGTTGCCACGGGATCATGTGCGTGCTGGACCTTGTGTGCGAGTGGTAACGTGCTGCCCAGTCGACTACCTCTCGTCCACTCCAATTGCCGGCGAGTGGCGCGCTCCAGTCGATCTGATACGTACGCATCGAAGACCGAAGATGTTAGGAAGCCAATGCCGAACATTGGTCTCTGAGCAAAGCTGAGTGTGGTGATTTGCGGGGACAACGTCGTTGTACTGAATGTCCACGTTGCTCGTGTTCGCTGCAAGCGGAGGTGGAGGGGACCGTGATTTGCTGGCCATGTGATAACGAGCACAAACGAAACTCGAACGCCTTGAAAGGTAGTTTCCATCCGTACATGACTAGACTTGAAGCTCCTCGGTTGTAGATCTGGACGATGGACGATGCCCCACTCATCATCACTATCGCTGGTATCGTCACTGACGTCGTCACGCTCCAAAGACGTGGGAGGAGCCGGAACCCTGACCAAATCGTTCAAGTAAATAAAGACCAACTCGACCTTTAACATGTAAAGTGAAAAGCTAGTGACGTACTGGGACGAACAGGGCTTCCTCCGCAGTATTGAGGAGACGATGAAGTCAAGTGTTAGACACATGGGTGAGCTCTCGCTCACGCCTTTTCCACGCCGATACAAGCTAGTGAGGGCATTTGCACGGACTGTCAAAATTAATACTGAAAAGACGCGGCGTTTAGCGCCGCTTGCGTATACTAATCAGTGGATCGATCGATACCTTAGCGTCACGTTAAAGTGTCGAACCGATGTACCGACTTATACTTCGAGCACCAAGCCCGAAATCTACCTCAGTCCTCAGCAGCGACATTGCAGCTGTTACTCGACAGCAACTCGAGTCTCTTGCCGGTACCCAACGTGTTGGATTATAATGTTGACACACACACATGTAGCTATTGTCAGAGATGCACACAGCACAACGTTCACACGCGTAAAGTTCGTACACCACGACAGAACGTTTCGCACCCATCTTATTCCTAGCCTTTCTCGGAAAACAAGCAGTCGACTCCCTGTCGCGGTCGCACCATCTCGGACCGCTTGGCATTTATGACCTTACCTGCGCATTTCTGTGATCGCATCTTGGTTGTCAAGCGGTTACTTAAGATTTCGATACTGCAAGTTGCGAAAAATTGATGGCCGCATGCCGTTGGTTTACAATTTATTGATACCGTCCCCCGATAGGCGCGTGACAAGTCCTCGACCTGTCGCTTTGTCCAGGCAAAAGAGCCAGTGTCGGTAGGTGCGGCGTTGTCGTACAATGAGGAAACTCTTTGGTGTGGTGATGCCGACAACAGGTGTGCTTCTTTGATACATAAAATACCTATGTGTTGTCGTCGGACATGCGATTCTTGGCCGATAGCTAAGCGCACCAAATTTTCTGCATGACTCTCGACACAAATGAGACTAAAATAAGCCTGAGTGCGAGTAATTGCACTCACCACTGAATTTGGCCGAACCAATGTTTGTTGTAGTCTTTTGAAGTCGGATAGGGAGTCTCCATCAGTGAACGATAACACAGTACTGTCCCATCTGGCGATATCAGTGCTTTCTCCGAATCGGCAAACAAAGGAAGCGCTTTGTGGAACAATATTGCATGAGGAGACATTCTCACGACCTTTTGCTTGATTCTGTAAGAACGTTTAGCATTCAGTGATATTCTTGTTACGGACTTTCAGCCGTTTCAGATTGCACACAGGCTGTGAAACGCGCGCGGCGTTTCTACGATTCCCATTCTAAGCATTTCAATGTCAGGCGAGATTTCCAAACCGAATAACTAGAAATCGTGACTAGATTTACGTATCTCAGATGGTCAGATCCAGCAACTTCTACGAAGCTCCCGTCAAAGAATCCCCACCACCAGAACATAAATCTGCATTCTTTCGATTTCGTTGGCTCCAGGCGACAGCGGAACATCTGAATAACTTAACTCAACCCGCCGTCCACACATGTTTCGACACGAACTTGACTGGCCAAAACGAGTCCGACATGCCATCGCCAGCGTCCGAACCCATCGCCACTGTGCACGAAACGACGCCGGGCTTCGAGCAGCTACGCAATGCTGTACTGGATCTTTCCGAGCCCGTGAGCAAGCGCACTCGCGCCATCTTCTACCTGCGGTCACGTGGTAGCGTGGCGGACCTGGAGGTCTTACTGACGGCGCTACTGAACCGCAACGACTCGGAACTGGTGCGCCACGAATTGGCGTACGTGATTGGTCAGTTCCAGATGACGGAAGCATGCGACACGCTGGAGCACGTGCTGGCAGACGAGACGGACGACGGCATGGTGCGTCACGAGGCGGCAGAGGCGCTCGGTGCCATTGGTGCCCATCGGTCGCTTGCGGTACTTCAGAAGTATACGGCCGACGCGATGCCTGAAGTAGCAGATACGTGCAAGTTGGCGGCCCGTTTGATCGAGTATAAACTGGCCAAAGCCAATGGCGACATCATCGAGAGCGAGGTGGACCGCAATCCGTACTTCTCCGAAGACCCGGCCCCTGCTGCTGAAAAGAGTGTGTCGACAGCGGCACTGCGAGATGTTCTATTGGACCACGAGGGCGATCTGTTTGCCAAGTACCGTGCTATGTTCTCATTACGGAACCGGAATACGAAAGAAGCGGCACTGGCTCTCGCGGCTGCGCTCAGCGACCCAAGTGATTTGTTCAAGCACGAGGTTGCGTACGTCATGGGCCAGATGGAGAACCCCGTGGTTGTGCCAGCACTGAAGAAGGTGCTGTTGGATGAGACGCAGCACCGCATGGTGCGTCACGAGGCGGCAGAGGCGCTGGGAGCTATTGGCACGATCGAGTGCGAAGAGATCCTTACCGAACATCTCAAAGATACTGTTCCAGTTGTGCGGGAGAGTTGCGCCGTGGCGCTCGACATTTTAGACTACTGGGCGCCTACTAAGTAGGTACTTGATTGTAGGCACGACGATGCGTTTGACTGATGCTTCGATGCTTTATGTTGTTCCTTTTTGTGTATCGATATTTGGCGACGAGACGATGGTCTTGTCGGATTGTTTTCCACCTAGTTATACAGATAGCCGACGTTCATCCGGTTGAATGTACGTAGGGACGATGGCAGTAATGTCGAGCTGGCTTGTAACCGATCGGCAATCGTCAGGCACATCGTTGGTGGTAGTTTTACTGTGTGCACAGGCAAACGTTCCTGAATTGTTGACGTCGATTGACGACCACCGTATAGCACCTTCAGTACTCGCCGAAACTTGTTCGAACCCTGCTGCTTGATCATCGTCTCCCAGCTTAGCAACTGCAAGTGCAAGAGAGCACTCGTACCCCCTTGGTTCCCAGACGACAAGTCGGCACAATCGTGCTTGTCGTTTGACGGTGTCAAGACGAACCGGAAAATTCCATCTGAGTCTGCCGTTTCTAACAACTTGGCGCTCAAAATGCTGTCAATAGTGTACTCGCCAAAGACGTCTTCCGCCTCCTGGTCTTGCTCTACAAGATCCTTTTCCACACGAGCTCTTGCTAAGTGACGAGCAATAAGAACGTGCTTGTGCAAACGGACGGTGTCTGGCTGCTCCACGTTGCGCAGACCAACGCGCTCAGAGCAATTTGCACAAGTCAGCGGGATCCACTCGCGCTCTTCCTTTGCACTGTCTCCGAGTGCAACAGTCGCCTCGCCTTCACCATCTGCTACCGTCGTAGCTTCAGCCACTAAGTCACTTGCATGTAGCAGTATGTATGACTCCCCAACAAGGACTCGATGTCGCTGTGCGCAGATATCATCACGTGGAATATGCTCAAAAGCTCCAATGCCAGCTCCCCAGAAGTCAAACATATCCATCCAATTCGCTGACGGAAGCGGCAGCACTTTGTCCATTTTGACACCATCTTCACAATCCAGCAGCTGGGCCTTGCACGTTCGACAGCTCAACGATCCGTAGCTTTCCACCCGCAGCTCGAGAGGAGACACCATCGTAAAGGACGAAAACCCACCGAGCGGTTGTTTATCACTCAGTCGAATCGGAACTCTCAAGTACCAATGATCGTCCTTTGGCTCGACCGTGCACTGCGTGACATCCACGTTGCGCTCAATCTCTGTTTGCCAAATGACCGTGTCCACACGATGATCCAACGGATCGTGATACCTAAGTTCTACATGTGGAAATGCCACTCGAACACGCAAGTGCTCAGCTGTTAAGACGTTCGTCACTTTGTAGCCATCATCTTTGTGTCGGTCGTCTGATGGAAGGAGGAAACACTGGTAACAGCCGATATTGGCGTTATACTCGACCAACGAGTCAACAATTCGGGGCGCTGCTGACCACTCGTTCCCTGTCTCATGTTCCGTCACGTTTAGGGTCTCCAAACAATTGACCAGACCATCTGCTGCTGGTTGTATAAGCTCATTCTCGCTCGCACAAGTGCAATCATCTGCCATCGAAGCACCACCGATTCAAGTAGACCTCAACTAACGGCAAATAGGCCTGCAACAGCTTGTGGTCTAGCCGTGTTATGGTGGTTTCCGGAGATGGCTACATTTGTGTAGGCGGTCCTTAGCTGAGTTAAGGTCTTCTACATTCGGTTTCCAGAAGCGTCTAAATCGTCAAGCTCGAAAAGGATCTAGGAAAGAAGCAGCCGACAAAAAATGTGCTCGTCTTATTCTAGTAGCCTGTCAGTCAAATTTAGCCTCTCGATCTTCTCGCAGATGGTCTGCGCTTCGGTCCTAATGCTTCCGTCCTAACGAGACTTCCATTTGCTGACTTCGACAAAAGGCACGACGAGAGCCAGCATTTGTAATAAACAAAAAAAGGTTCAGCCGAATGTTCGGCGAAGTACCAAACAGCGTCCCACCACTCCGTTCAGGCACGTACACCTGCTGTTCCGTACAGGAAGCGCTTGCCGTTCGCTGTTTCGACCGAGTACGGACCTATTTCCTGCATTCAGTCTGTGCTAACTCAGTATAAACCATCACCAGGGTACTAGAGTACAATAAATACCCTACATTCAGATAAACTGAAAACCTCTCCAGTCAGCAACGAACGTTCAGTGACTGTACAACACTGCTCGCACTCCAAAAAAAAGAGCCATCTCTTTTCCCTCTCGAGCGTCTCACCTTCTCCACTCCATGTCGGTCTGTCTGTCCCTTTTCAACCAAGCAAAAGTAGTCGACCGTTGAGACGCGGGAGTAAACTATTCATACACTATCGACACAGCCTCTCTCTCGCTCTTCGTCCCGCATTTCATCCAATCCCAGTCCGCTCATGTGGTCCACCCCAACCGCTCCGTCGTTGTCTCGTGCCTCTCGCACTGGTCGTCAAGTCAGAGAGAGAGAGAGAGACTGCTACTGCTCTCTCGAGCGCTTAAAGTCTCAGTCACTGCGTCACTCTACAGCAAGCGCGCTCTGGACCGTACTTACCCAAGCGCTTGTACACAACCACCTACCTATTTAGTGCCCTCAGGAAGTGTGCATTCCATTGGCTTTTCACTTCATGGCGTACTTGACCATGACCCCTGACGACATTCAAGGCGACTACTCGTGCAAGATCAATGTGGAAGAGTACCGCTTAAGTAGTCACAAGAAGGTCGAGTACAAGGTCGTGGTGCAGCTGTCGTTCTACTCGTCCCGAGCTCATGCGACAGGGCACACGAGTTGGCACATTTGGCGCAGCTTCTCCACGTTCCGGAAGCTCGACGAGCAGCTCCGGAAACGCACTCCCGTGCTCATGAAAGGCGTCAAGTTCCCGCCTTTGTACCGTCGTCGAGCTCTTTTTCGGGCGGACAAAAGTCTCGAGTTCCTTGGTGCACGGTCCCGAGAGCTTGACAATTACATGAACGTCGTGACGCACAAACCGCAGCTCGTGGCTTTTCACTTGGCTGCAGTCAGTAGCCAGACGCTCAAGAACTTTGTGGGGTTCAACTCGGGCTTTGGGGCCAATGTCCACTACGACCAGCAGGACGCCCATCTCCGTCCGTCGTCGTCCATCTTGGCGTCGTCGGCAGTTGTGCAAGCCACGGCAAGTGTCAAGGGCGACGACGAAGACGATTTTCGGTCCGTCTCGAGTACGTCAACTGTCTCTTCATTTGCATCCATGGCTAGTGACTATCGCTGGTCAGGGACGGGCTTTGTGGGCAGTCAGAGCTTTGCAAAACATTCAGGGTTACAGCCACATATGGGTGGAGGGCGTACTTCGTTTGCGAGCAGTCAGGGCTCTTTTGCAGGGTCAACAGGTCCAGGCTCGTCGAGAGGGAGCTGGTTTCCAGCATCTTCAAATGTGTCTAGTACCTCTGGACGAACGCCCATGGTATCGGTCTCAAGAGGACCGATGATGGCTGTCACAGCATCGGATGTCATTACACCAGAGCTCGACATGCAGCGAGCAAAGATGGAGGATCGCCTCGTGCAAATGGGACTTGTAGGTGTCGGAATGCCACCCGATGGATCTTGTTTACTGCACTGCATTGTGTACGAGATGTATCCGCTGCAGTGTCTGCGGGACTACCCTGCAAGTATGACGGTAGTGAACGTAGGTGCTGCGGATGGAATGGCACCTCGACGAGTGGCAGCAGCCCAATTTTTGCGCGTAAAGCTGATGGAATACGCGCTCGAGCACATTGAGAAGTTCGCAGGCTTTCTTATGCAGGACGTGGAAGACGTGCAAGAGCGGTACGAGACGTTTCGAAGCACAGTGGACGAACAAGCTACGACTGCCGAATTGTATGCGGTGGCGAGCATGTTTAACATCGAGTTGGTGCTGATTTCCAACGACGAGAGCTTTGTGATTGACCCTGTGGTGCCGTTAGCAGGTCTCCCGTCCATGCGCGAAGGACCACGGCGTACTGTCACACTAGGATACCTCATCCCTGCCGATGGACTCGCTGGACACTATATTTGTACACGTGAGAAGCGGGCGCAAACTGGCATGCCTCAGAACACCTTTGCTGGCGGAAGTTACCGTGGATCTATCCACATTGGACCGCCGAAAGGCATGAGCTGTGGCGCTTCGACTGGTCGGCGCTTTGACCGGATTCCGGAGCAGAGGGTTGAATAGAGGTCTGGGCAACTGGCAGTAAGTAGCCTGCCAAATGCATGGAAGTGTCATGAACACATGGCACTTATCGGCATACAAATACACACATAGAGAGTAAACGACGGCGACGACACATTACGAATCGACACGATGATTTCATTCTCAGCAGTCCGTCGAATGGATCAAGCACGGCGGAGAAGTCTACGTACAAGCGGCACTAGAGACCGAGAAAAAAAGCGAATTGAAGAGGCCGAGTGGATTACATGACTCGGACGAAAATGATCAAGCAGTGCATATCGCAGCCACTGAAAATCAGTGAATGTGTCCATGTTGTTGCAATTGCAGGCACGGCCAGTCGTTCTCGTGCGTATTTGCTTCCTCGACAGCTACAGCACAAGTGACTGAGTGGTAAGGTTGATTACCTACCACCTGCAAGTGTTGTTATCTTCTCGACCAGCTATAGCCAGTATACGTGCATGTAAACACGCGCGATTTGCTTGCTTCGGTGCGTTTTCCACGCCTGCGCGAGGCTTCGTGCTCAAAAGCAGCTGGAAATATCGAAGTACGTCATCGGTTGTCCGCTCGAGACTTTGTCTCTACATCGTTGATTTGACCAGCTGATTCGATACATTGTCACTGATTTGTGAGTGGCTAAGCAGGTCTCTGCTATTGTGCACAAGGGAGCTAAAGTCGTATTCCACCGAGAGATCAACGACCCATTACCACTAACTAATCCGCTGCAGTCTTCGCTCGTCTTTGACCGAATAGAAGCAAACGAAAGTGACGTGACTACCCCGTTTGTTCTCTTGCCGTCTCCTCGGTGTGGCTCTACTTCCCATTACCTAAAAACGCACGATGCAGCTCTTTGTCCGATCGGTGCGTACCCCTCGTTCGGGCTAATCCGTCCTGTTATTTGATCATCGCTTTGACGTCGTCCATTTGTGGCGTACTTGCGTAGGATGCTGGACGTGTGTTGACCGTCGCTGTAGCAACTTCACAGACTAAAGTGCAGGAGCTGCTGTTGTCGCTAGTGGAGATTAAGGACTTGAACTCGTGCTGTGGTGGATACCTGAATTACGGTGGAGTGCCGCTGCAGGCGTCCCGGTGTCTAGCGGATTACGGTATTCAGGATCATGCTACGCTGGACTTTGCTCGACGACTTCGCGGCGGCTGCTTTAGCGTTTCGATCTTGTTGTGGACGTTGATCTTCATCTGCTGCTTGATCAGCGTCTGCACGTGCGGCTTGTCGCTACCAGTGGCGCTGTTTCTATTACCACCCGCTCTGCTCCTGCCTCTCTGCTGTCTCTAGCAAGACGAACAAGAGAGAGAGAGAGAGAGGAGAGAGCAAGAGTGCTGCTGCCAGAGTTGCGACGCGAAGGTTCCTAGTAGAAGTGGCGGGACGGGCGAGTGCATCCGAACAGGTCAACGAGTACAGAAGCCAAAGCAGACTGCAGCCATAGCCACATCCATGTCGCTCGCACCATCGAACAAGCGTGATGAGAACGACAGACGCAACCCCAACACCACCAACTGCAGCCTCAACAAGAGTAGCACGAAAGCAATAAAAGAAGTCACGTCGTCTTCGTCTGCCATGCAGCCTGCTATCATAAAAAAAAGAGTCGACGACTCAACACTCGCTCAAAGAGCTTTCGCCAAGCCCTGGAGCTACACGAGACCACCTGTCTCTCCCCTCTCTCTCTCTCTACTTGTGTACCCCACCAAAGCCCGCGCGTCTACCGCCACTGCGGCCTGGAGCCTTGGCGCCGTCCTTGTTCTTAACGTGCTTGCTCTTCTTCTGCTTCTGCTCCTCGTTCTTCTTACTCAGGGCCTGCACTTTGCTCAGCAGTGGCGAGTTCTTGAGAAGCTCCGGCAGAATCACCAACTTGATCTGCGACCCGCGCACGTACACGAGCTCCAGCTTGGACTTCTGACCGTCCCGTTGCGTCAGGACCACGTCGCTCAGCTGGCAGTTCATACTGTCCTCGCTCTCGCTCAAGTGGCCTCGGTACACTTCGCCGTTCTTCAGCTCGACGGTCACGGTCCGGCCCTCGCCCTCGTGCAGTAGCGAGATCGGGACCCCAACGTTTGTCGCGGCCATTTTTTGAATGGGATGGGGGATATCTATCGATGTTTTGGAGCGCTGGTTAGCGTGGCTGGTCGCTCGCCGTCACTCTGAAGTGACGATATGAAGTGGACGATGAAGTGAGTGCGGGGTGCTACTATGTTGCGGAAGAGGGAGGTGCAACGTAACGCCAGCAACGAAGGTCCGGGTTTAGCTCTGTCGATGTGGAACAGATGACTTTTTGTGAGATTTGGTTCGTTTAGTGTTGTTTTTCTTGCTGGGTCGAAAGGAATAGTGCCTTAATTGTGCAAGAGAGGGAACACGCGACAGTCACAAGCTTTGGAGGGTTTGAATGACAAGATACGTGATGACATCGAGGGATAAATCGGAAGAACTAGCTTCGGTGGGTGAAGTGCGTCGGGGTAAAGCTAAAGTGGTAACGGGTTCCACCGCATTAGGCTGATACGAGACCGCTATTTCCTGGCTGGTCTTGCTTTTAGGGCATGTTTGATGCCGGTCGGATTGTGTTGCCTGGGCGTAGCCTTCGGTGATCTCTCAAGTTATTCAAGAGACTTAACATTGAAGTGGTCGAGTCGCATTTGATGGGAGACGACCAGCCATTTTCACTAATACATTGAGCGACGCTGAAAATACGAGCTATTGCATTGTACGGGTGATTCTGATATGTTCTCTTCAGCAAACGAACCTTTACTTACCATTCATTGAGTTTGTCTTGATAGTGGTAAATGATGAAGCTGTATCTTATGCACAGTGTCTTTCTGCACCAGCCCAACGTTAGGTTCGGAACGATCAACATGATCACCATGTACGTATCGACAAGCAAGGATATCAATCGGCCCGGTCGCATTGCTTAAGTGGCGTTCACCGTCATTTTGATCTGTGAAGTGACTTAAAGCGACTTGAGTGACCAGATGAGACCAGGGTACATGGTCGACCTATTTACATAAATTACGGTGCCAAACATCTTTCAAAGACACCATGTAATCGACTACATATTCGAAACGTCCGGGTGATGCATCACCGACATCGCAAACGGGATCTGCAGAAGTCTAGCTAACGTGGAGGAGTATTCAATACAGTGATTGGTGGGTGTAAAACTGGTTTTTGAAGATCTTCGTGCTGGTGTCTACGATCTGAAAATGTACATGCATTTTTTGTACCTTGCCTCTGCAATCGGGACTCGTGACTGAGGATGCGGTTGTATGAAGGTATGATAGAAAAACACGTATAAGGTGCGATTTATCAGCGTACAAGGCGATGAAAAGCATGACAAAGGCGAAGTTCCGTGCTACTGTACGAGTTGTTTGTGCAGTTTGAAGTACTATATCTAGTAGTGGCGCGGCAACGTGACTATTTGATGGATGATAATGAGTTGAGACCAGAGTTCATGTCGTCGGTTTTGACTTAATTTATCGTAAATGGTCCGACTTAATTTATCGTAAATGGCGACCGCCCATCAAAATTCGAGCAATTTTGCGGAACAAGGCCAGTTTTCTCTAGAGTTGATGGTGTGACGGAGTTACGAAAGGTCGCATTTCCAGGACAAAACGATGACGCGTCTTTGACAAGATTGGTTCATCCTCGTACCAGCTGGTGTTGCACAGCACCATTTAATGTTTCACCGTCTGTTATCGTCGACAATATCTTTTCGTGTCAATAACAGTTCTTTGTATTTGTTGTTGTGATTGTTAGTTTATCCTTTAAGCTCATATTAAAGATCTATCATTGCCATCAACATCATTTACAGCAAAACATTCATTTCAGCGTAGAATTGATACTATAGCATGGCGAACACGCTCAAAGCTATCTACGTTACTGAGCAGATAGCGAAAAAGTAGAAACTGCAATCTCGTGTTCTTATTGAATCCGTTCCGTGTAATGCTTCAAATCATCACTTGCGCTGATCCCACTGCTATCATCATCAATAACACAAATCTCATCCTCAGAATATGAAATATCCTCCGAAAGAGGTGCACTGTCATCTTGAGATCATCATATGTCGACCGCGGCGGCCAAGATGTAGTCATGAGTTGCAATGAAATTGCCAGCCTCGTTGTCATTTGCCATGCACATCGACAATTTATTGACAGTGTACATTTTGACAGTTCTGTCCTCAAATTGCTGAGTTTAAATGTGGTCTTGTCACGTGATCTATCACCAGATTTTCACGAATATCTACCGGCCTCATAATTTTCCATTCAGCGTCTTTTATGAACAATTGAGATTCGTTTCTACTTTGTACACCTCTAAGAACTTAATACTACGCGTATTTATCAAGCACAACACGTTATAATTGTTAAGTATGAGCCTGGTTGGGGCCAAAGACTTTCCCTACATCTAATTTTGCATTTGCATGGTGTTTACATTACTCGAATCTGCGTTTATGGTGATTTTAATGCTGGAGTCACTTTCTATCCTTTTTAATCAGTGAAACGCTCCTAAAAATATTTACAAGACTATACACAATTTCAAGGTATTTCCTCCACGAGCCGAGTAGCACTTCTTCAGCAAAAAGTGAACGTCATTGTAACCTTGAAACACCCCCCTGGTCTTAAATAATACTCCTGTTCGTATCGCTTGTTGCATAGAAGCTCTCTGCGCTCTTGATCGTTCCACACAGGTTTCACTTGAATTAAGATATTTTTCATGCAATTAGATATTAGTTTCGTTTCACTCACCCAAAAACTTGCAAAGCTCTGTCGAACCTTACAAGAACTTGTGACGGCGACAAAGTCGCTTAATGTTAGTACACCATAGTTCTTATCAAGCACTTCAATCCTCTCAAGAAGCAGCATCATTATGCAACGATGCTGAATACATGTACACCTAAATATTCGGTCATCTCGGACAAGCGCAATCTACTTTTGAAAGAACTCCCAGCGTCGAAAGTCAACTGACTAGCTTTGCTGGGCATCTATCTCTTTAAACCCGGACTCTTTCTGCTGAGCACTCGGCACTACATCAACGGTAGCAAGGGCAAAACATGTTGAAAATGCAAAGATAATTGCTGTTCAGGCTTTAACGAACCTTATCATAAAGAGCGTCACGCACCAACAGCGCGTCATAGTAAGAAAATCGGAGAGGCGATAACGGTGTTTAGTCAGGTTCAAGCAAAAGATTGATGTAAATGCAGATGGCTCAAGACAATCGAGGCGCCCAAAATAAAAAACAAAGAAGGAAAAGAAAATAAGCTAGTCAAAGGTAACGAATTCTACTTATGACGAATGAATAATCAGTAAACTAAAGGATGTAACTGTCATACTACAAACAACCCAAGGCCGTTAAACCATGTGCGACACATAAGTCTCAGTATTATACCCAGAAACCGCGGAATCACTGGGCTTGGCCTCTTGTAAAGCACAAATCCTCAACATCGAATAGTCGGGGGCCCTGGACTGGCTGTCCCCCAGAGATTCCAGTGCCCAATGGCCGTCAGGTAGGGGATTAGTAGGCCCCAGCCTAAGGGGTATTATCGGATCGTTAGTTACGCCAAATGACTATAATGCACCCCCAAAATTAAATTATAATACTTCATGAGGAGCATGTAAAAATCTCGAGGGAGAAGAAACAACTTGACGAGTCCAGACTAAAGAACGGGGTTACATGGCGGTTATTGAACTAGTTATGTTGTGTGTCCACACTAAGTCTAGGTCAGTGGATCTGAGAGGTACGGTATAACCGTACCATGTAGGTACGGTAATACTGCACCTTATCGCTTAGGGATAAGGGATAAGACCCCTTTCATAGGATCGCAATGTAGAAGTCATTCAGACAAGGTTTAATGGCTTTATTACCGTAGCTAACGAATAAATAAAGTTCAGTTCCCCTTTTGAATCGTTGAACACCGGTGCCTAGTCAAGGCGTAATGTGTAGTTTAGAGCATTAGCCTTGTGAAGGCGCTTACTCTTGTTCAACTAGTAGTGACTAGCTAGTGTGAGATTCTGTGAATCGTATTCCCTTTTAAACCGGGATTGTTAAGCTTGTACGCTTGAGCGACTGTACGTCGTTGTCAGTTTGTTATGTACAAGAGACTCTTTGAGTTTAAGACTCCCTTTTTTAAGGAGCACTGAGTAGCTCCACCACAATTGGTAGCAATTGTAGTCAATCTACGCCTGAGTCTTTACAGACTGAATCCTCTGCAAGGATGGAAACGGCCATTAGTCTCTCTAAGGTCCAGCAGATCACGCTTGAGAAACTCAAGGCGGTGATAGGGCACGAGCAAGTGGCTCTTAATTTGGCGCTATGCCCGGACGCACTTCGTGCATGTCTCGAGGCCTTCTCGAACTTCGAGTCCACGTTGATCGGACAGGCCCATGACCATTTGGCATCTAACATTTGGCATCTGCCATGTTCACTCGGCATATTCTAATACCGGACACTAAGTCAAGTACTCGTCCTATAGTCTTAAGTGTCAAGACTTTCGAGGGGAAAGAGGGAAAAATCTATTTTTGTGGGTTCGCGAGATGAAGGTTAATATCACTTCGGCCTTGCTGCGGTCAGAGCAGCAGGAGGTGGGCCTGGCCCTATCGAAGCAAGGTAGGCGATCCTAGGAGTGGGCGTTCACTTCTGCGCCTCGATAGAAGTGGCTTTCTCCACCTGGGACATGCTAAACAGCAACTATCTCGGGTGTTTGCCCCGCCTAATCAGGTGTATCGCGTGCGATCACGCTTACTTTCAACCCGCCAGGACATAAGGACTTAGTCGACTATTTCCAGGAGTTGCGAACTCTAATTGCCGCGATGCAGCTTGACCCTTTACCTGAGACGGTTTCGGTCACCATTTACGTGGAGGTAATTTGCACTGGCGTTGCCAGAACAGAAGTGCTTTGTGGACAACCTTTGATATTTTTGAAGGTTCAGTGGACATAGCGTTGAACGCAGAGTTCAACTATAAAGCTGCCCGTTACGGGACTCATGGTTTTCAACTCATCGAGCAGTGCTCATCCTACAGATCGGGCAGAACCAAGAGATCTTAATCTCGATGAAAGAGACAAAAAATTTGAGCCTTACGCTGTT